AAATTTTGTGTTTTGCAAAGTTTGCTGCTTCAGTATTTGTAGATTATTTTTCCACATGTTTCTATGGTATACTGAAAAACAATTATAAGCATATATCAAACGTTTTAAAGGCTTGAGATCCGGGGAGTTGCCTGGCCATGGATCCAAAATTTCAATGTAATGATCTTCTAGCCACTTCTTTATCACTCTTGCTTTGTGACATGGTGCTCCATCATGCTGGAAAATCGGATCATCACCAAATTGCTCATGGATCGTTGGAAAAAGTCGCTCTTGCTGGGCGTTTTGATACCATTCTTTATTCATGACAGGGTTTTTGGGCAGAATTATGAGAGGGCCCACTCACTTGGTTGAAAAGCAACTCCACACATGGATGGTCTCAGGATGCTTTACTGTTGGCACAACACAGGACTCATGGTAGCGTTCACCTTATCTTCTCTGAACAATCGATTTTCCAGATGTCCCAAACAGTCGGAAGGGAGCTTCATCAGAGAAAATAACTTTGCACCAGTCTTCTGCTGTCCAATCCTTGTACTTCCTGCAGAATTTCAGTCTGTCCTTGATGTTTTTCTTGGAGATAAGTGGCTTCTTTGCTGCCCTTCTTGACACCAGGCTGTTGTCCACAAGTCTTGGCCTCACTGTGCGTGCAGATGCTCTCACACCAACCTGCTGCCATTCCTGAGCAAGCTCTGCACTGCTGGAGACACGATTCCAGAGCCGACTCCTACATTTATATTGGTGCTAAATGTCCAAGTGTCCTCCCCCACCATCCAGAAGATACTAAACAGAACAACACTCTGGTCTCCCCATCTTACTTCAAACACATTCCACTGAGAATATGATCACCTGGCACCAGATGCCTGGGTATCTCCAAACACATAACACACATACAAAAATACATTTTCTTTATTTAGGACATAATTAAGCTGGTATAAAATGTATACGGTATGTGTATGTGTTGTATGTATGTTCCCCTTAGTATATTAGCCTAGTTATAACTCTGTATTGGTATTAGTTAAACTCTAAATGCTTGTACCAAGGTAGATGAATGTATCTCTGCTTTAATAACTTCTAGCTGTTTCTTTCTTGGCATCGAAACGATCTGCTCTTTATTCCCTAAACAATGGTGTACATTATGCGAGTATGAAATGCATCATACTGTTTTTACTATACTTTAGGTAAAACTATACAAATTCTCCAGCCTAGCAATATAAACATGCAAATGGGCCATAAATGGAGACAAAGAAAGTTTCTCCCACTCAAAACCCATGCTTCATATTGACCATTCCTCCAAAGATGGGTGTGACTGGAAAGAAGTCCCTGTCCCAAACCACTCTTTGCTCAAACCTTCTTGAGACCAACACTCTCCAAGACTCTTAAGACTCTTTTGACTTTCCGGCAGTTTTAACTTCAAGAAACTTTGTTGATTTGCTGTGGACTCTCTGATCTTCAGAAGAACCAGACAAAGGCCTCCAGCCTACTTCCAACGAATTCATCAAGAACCTCCGTCTTCTACTGCATCCGACTCTTGTTGCAGCAACAAAGCCAATGCAAGTAACTGTTTCAACTATTTAGATGCGCGTCTAAGTTTGGGCCCCTTTGATCAAGGTGTTTTTTCTTTCTCTGATGATTCTCGTAAGGTTGTGGTTAATTGATGTTAAATACTGTCATTCTTTTGCTCTTCTCTCTCTCTTTCCTTACTTTCCTTTATTCTGTATATGTTTTTTGCTTAGTTTAGTTGTATGTTAGCTGTAGTTTCATTTATTAAATCCCTCATGTTCACAGTTGATTGTCTCTGTGTGCTGCTCACAATTCGGAGTCACTGAATGTTGATCCTTGCTACATGCTAAACTACTGCTAGCACTGCATAAAGAAGAAAGCTAATCTTTCTTGGCCAGGAAAATTATCTTTCCTAGAATTGATAATTATATTGTCTGCTCGGTGGACGGACAGATCAAATAATTGAAATATTGATTCTGCTACAGTTAATTCTAAGATCTAATCTAAATATTTATAATTAATTATTACCAGTTATAATTAATTATAAATATTTCCCCTTTGAGCTAATTTGCTACAGGTACATACAGTAGGAAAAGTAATTTGTAAATATTTTGTAGAGATATTTATAGAGATTTATATCATATATAGAGAAATATGAATACCATGGTCTATGGCTTTATGGTTTAACAATGCTTTGACATTTTTTATTAACCCTATTATAAGCAATAGTAGCGATTCTTGACAAAGCAAATAGCACATTTATTTTGTGGTGATATGGCTCGTCCTTTAGTGGTCAAATGCTGTATTAGTTTAATTTCTGAGAGTGTTTATATCTGCTTTAGGGATAGCTGCAGGCTGGAGCAATGGGCGTAGCGAAAGGCTAGGCCGTGTAGTACATCAATGTGTGACTTCACTAATTGTATGAGGTTTCTCTCTACCTGGCCCCACCCCTCTCTCTGGAGTAGTCAGTGTGTTGAAATGTATAGCTGCTGTGTGATGTGTATGTACGGTCAGTAAACCCACAGATTATGAAGCAGAACTCTTTGCCAGTTTATTTATACTGTATGAGTCAACATGGTGTCGGAAGTAAATGACAACTGCACGCGAAAGTGAGTTTTGTCTACACTGGAAAAGCTTCCACGCAGGTCTCTCGACTCTAGCCGCTAAGTTATGTAAATAGTTGCATCGCACTATTTCACATCGCAGCTATGGCAGGGGAATTCAGAAGATCGGATCCTCTCATTTTCAATGAAAATGATATCTTCATTGCTGTAGCTCATTTAGACAAAACACGTTGAACACAAGCTTTCATCCTCCTCAACCTTGAGGGTCCCGAAGCCATCTAACGATAATGGTCCTTCTTTTATGCGCAAGAGGTGAGAGTTCCCGGTGAAAATGACAGTGTTATTATTACACTGGCTGAGTCCAGGGAAGTCCCCGACTGCTTAAAGACAAAGTTCAGTGAGTGCTCCCCATGTCAACATCACAATGGAACAACACAAGTTCAACATGAGATCACTGAATCCTGAATCTTAGCGATTTAAAACAAAAATCAAAAAGCTGCAAATTTGGTGCATTACAAGATGAGCTTATTCGTGATCGACTAGTTTGTGGAATACACTGTGACATTCTGAGAAAATCACTGCTGCGTGATTCAGAACTCACTTTACATAAAGCCATATCAGCATGCCAGATCTATGAACAAACTTAACAGCACACTAAAGACCTTGCAACACTCCAAACCACAACTACGGTCAATGCCTTGTCACAGGACCCACAAGCACTTGTACATGAACACATCAAGGAAGAAAACACCTTTGAGGTAATTAATGTTTGCAATATTTCACCATCACACATGGATGAACTTAAAGGTGGGGTAAGTGATTTCTGGTAGCCAATGTTGATATTTCAAATCACCAAAACAAACATGCCCCTACCCCAAAAGGGTCTCGCCCCTATATTGATAGCTCCGCCCCACACATACATACGCAACCCAGGCAATGATTATGTCGGTATCAGCCGGCCGAGGGTATGATGTCATCAAAAAGTGAAAGCAATGTGTGTTACTATGGTAATACAGGTCGGATGTGTTTTGGTAGTACTGTGTGTTTTAACGTGCATATACAGTGGGTACGGAAAGTATTCAGACCCCCTTAAATTTTTCACTCTTTGTTATATTGCAGCCATTCTCGGCTTGGCTAATGTCCGTCCTGTGCACTGAGCGCTCTCTCTCTCGTCCCCATCACGAGTAGACATGTCCCTTACTGCTGATTGGCTACAAGTTTGTTTTGGTACTCGGCCGGACTCAGTTTTCTAAAGCGTTTTTGAAAAAATACATACCCCACCTTTAAATGCCACACAGTATACGACACCACTCTACAAATGCTTGTGAACACAATCCGTCAAGGATGGCCAACTAAACTGCACAGTCTTCCCCCAGCAACGCGGCCATTTCACCCATACAGACATGAACTGATCACAGATGATGGACTTGTGTTAAAAGGCCACAAAGTGATTATCCCAGAAACACTTTGGCTGAAATACATGCAAATTGTGCATAGGGGTCACCCTGGAGCTGAATCTACCAAACAATGTGCATGTGTTGATGCTTACATCACATCTTGTGCCACATGCAACAGCACCAAACCCCACCAGCAGAAATAACCCCTTCAGTTATGACATCTTCGAATGGAACAGTCATCAATTCTTGGTGCTTGTTGAATCATATTCAGACTGGTACGAGATTGATCAGCTCCAGACGCTTTTCTGTTCATGGATCACCTCAAACCCTCATAACAGACAATGGGAGACAGTTCGTGAGCAACTGGTTTTAAAGATGTCACTATGGCCTGGGACTTTGTTAAAAAAAACTAGTAGTCCAAAGTGGAGTGGCCTAGTGGAGCATGCAGTCCGCAACGCT